ACAGTCTTAATTTTTCACTTACTAAGAATTAATGACACAAATTGAAGACAAAAGGACGACGGCGGGAGGTAGGGGGGTAGGGAGCATTCGTAAAATATAGCATTATTCACATATGAATGAGATATTTATACACACACAACACTGTAATAAATAGTGTCATACCTTGATTGGACACTACTAATCAATTAACTAGTGTAATGTGTGTATCTAGTCCTTTGTTTGGTGTAGACTGAGTTCTATCAGTCGGCCAGGTTTGCAATGTGGTGACTCCTGTACGACTGTATTGGATACTTTTGATTGGACACTAGTCAGTAACTAGTGAAATGTGTTTGTCTAGTCCTTTCTTTGGTGCAGACTGAATTCTATAGTCAGTTCATTCCATGATTCTAGGTAGCTCGCCATCACGGCACCAATTGATTTGATGATATATCTTCTAATAATAAAAAATTGTGCATCACTAGAAGTTAATTGGTGGATGGTGACTAGCAGTGGAATCCAGGGTAACACACGTTTCGTCCTATCTGGGACTCGTCAGTTGGATGTACCTGCATTCCTCAGTGAGTGATGATGTTCCACTAGATCACTTGGTCGACGAGAGCCACCTCTTGTACAACGGGTCATATTAATTAATTAATTCAATTCATTCAGATGACGAGTCCTAAGTAGAGGACGAAATGCGCGTAATTCTGGATTCCACTGTTAGTCACCATCTACCAATTAACTTCTAACTACTTGCTCAGACATCGTCGAAGTATCTGCACGTCAACCTGAGACCGAGCACTTCGGTGCAATCAATCGATGGGAAAATCTAAAATTGAATTAAATGTGCATCACTGTAAGAAAAAGTACGTGAATAAAGTGACAAGATATACGGGAGAGAGAGTGCGAGACAGAAAAGGCGGATAAATTACGCCTTTTTACACGCACACACACACATGCACACAACAAATTAATGAATCTGACTCATTTCTTTTAGATACATAGCGCGGGTGGGATAGCTGGTGCCTTGGCCATGCTCAGATGTCTTAATGTCACTCCCTTTGACAGGTAGAGGTTGCATCGAATCTTGTATATAATTTTGAAGGATTTTTCCAATGGCGCTGAATGTCCTGAATTGACCAGATGTTCTGTCACTGAACTATATATACACGTTTTCGTTCTCCTTTTACTAGCCAGGCTGGATAGTGTTCACGAGCGCGTTTTTCAAATTGGCGCATGGTATGGCCGATGTACTCAGCTCCGCACCAGTAAACGTTGAAGTGGCTCAATGCGACAGGTTGTCTTTCGCCTTCTGGCTGAACAGTTTCTTGCAGGAAAACGGC